CATCCTGAAGTTAGAGCACTATACTTATGTTACTTATTTTGAGACTGTGATCTAGTAAGTATTGGATTCTCAGCATGATGACTGAGTCATTAGATTCTCAACATCGTGACTCCATTATAGGGGATGGAGGTGGGGTTTGTACATCACACTGGACTGATGTTGGCAGTGTAATTATTTTATGATTTATAAAAATTGCTTTTGTCTAGTTTGTTGGTTTCTGCTATTTATGATCCTTTTATATTAGGTTCGCAAGGGTGGCTGGCGCTATTTGGACACTGGACAAGTTTTGATTGAGAGTGCATGCTCTGTTGATCGTGTGGAGGAAGCTCTGAGTGCATTGCTTCCTATGCTGCCTAGTGTACAGTATTTTCGATTCAATCCAGGTTAAGTTATGAATTAATATGTGGTCCCTAGATCTTATCCTCCATAGCAAATACTTTTATTTCTTTTCTTGAACAAATAGCTAATAATTTGGGCTTAACAATCTAACTAGAAACACAGTTTCTTGGCTCGGTATTCATTGAATGGAAGCATCAACTGTGAAACTGTTACATATGTACATGCTCAACCTTTTTGTTTGCTTGCAGTTGATGAACGATGTGATATGGAACTGGATGAAACTGATCCGGCAGTTTGGCTAAAGCTAGAGGATGCTGCAGATGAGTACATTAAGAACAATTCTACTTCTTTCAAAACTCTGTGTGAAAGATTGCTTGAGAGTCCGCACGATGATAAATTTTTGGATATGATGCAGTCTCAGCAGCTCCTCAAGGCAAAGGACATTAAAGGCTGTATGGGTTCTGAATCATCTGTATTTGTTTCCTGTGGCTTCTGTATTCCTTTGATCGTTGGTCTTAGATTTACTGATTTTCTCTACATTACAGTGTCAAATGAGAATAACCTCTCTTTAGGCTGGAGGCGTTGTGTGCTTCTTGTGGAGGCTTCCAACAGTCCAGATTCTGGAAGAGTTTTCCACCATGCTCGTGCACTTGAAACATTTTGTGCTAGTAATGGGATAAAATTATCTCTTATTAGTGGGGCATCTGTTTCCTTTAAGGCAGCTCCAGGATCTGCATTTCCCACCCCATACACATCACCTCTGTTTACTGGAAGCTTCCCATCGAGTCCTCTCCTTTACAGCCCTGATCTTGGCCCTCAGAGGGTTGATAGAATTGATTTAGTCCCACCTTTAAGCTTGGATGGATTCCATGTTGCGAAAACAATAGCTTCACCCCCTGGGTCACCTCCCAAACGCAGGCAGCTTTCCCTTCCTGTCCTATCATTGCATGAGAAAATACAGAATTCTCCACAGCTTGGAGTAATTCATTTGGCATTGCAAAATGATACACGTGGCTCCATATTAAGGTCTCATTTGTCCTTGTTTTCCTCTCCATTTTGGTTTTA